GTGTCAATGTGGTCTGTGACGATGGTGCAGGGGTCGTTTTGCAGCGCCTTGAAGAAGTCGGCGTCGGGGCAGAGGCACAGACGCTGCTCAAAGGGGTTGTAGGCTGGCTTGAAGTGCACATCGACGTCCAGGTCCTTGGGCAGGCTCCGCTTCGTCAGCGCGCGCAGCAGCCGGCGGCCGGCGCCCGGGAAGGTCTGCAGCCACCACACAAACACCGACTCCAGGAACATCTGGCGATACCAGTCGATCCAGTCGGCGAGGCGGCGCGGCAGGAGCCGCTGCAGCAGCTGCGTCATCTTGTCCTTGCGCGGCAGCGCCATCACGTACGATGGACTGCGCTGCAGCATGGTCGTGTGCTTGGCCACTTTGCTCACGTGGGGCAGCATAGTGATGGCGGTGGCGCCCGACCCGATGATGACGACGTTCTTGCCCTTCATGTCGATGTCGCTGCTCCAGAACTGCGGGTGCACGACCTCGCCCCGGAACTGCTTGATGCCCGGGATCTCGACTTTCTGGGCCTCTTCGTAGCTGTAGTACCCGCTGCAGTTAACCAGCCACCGCGCCCGGACCGGCGGCAGCTGCGCACCCGTCTCGGCGTCCGTCACGTCCACGGTCCACATCTGCTCCGCCGTCGACCAACGCCGGTCGCCGACCTTGTTGTTGAAGCGGATGTGCTTGTCGAGGCCGTGCACCTTGGCGGCGTCCTCGGCGTAGGCCTGCACGAGGGGCGCGTCTGGGAAGTTCAAGTCATGCGGCCACGGGTGCCATGCGAAGCGAAACACGGTCGCCGACGAGTCGGAACGGGCGCCGGGGTACTTCCAAAAGGCCCATGTGCCGCCGATGATGTTGCGTCCTTCGAGGATGGCGAATTTGGCGTCGGGGATTTGCTTCTTGAGCAGGTAGGCCGAGTTGAGGCCAGACAGGCCGGCGCCCACGATGATGACGTCGAGCTCCTCGACGCTTGCGGAGCCCATGGTGAAGGGTAGCGGTGTTGTTGAGGAGCGAGAGGAGGAAGACAAGAGAGAAAAAAGAGAGGAGGCGACGCGGCCACGGGAGAAGGAAAAGGCGCTGAAGTTGGAATTGGAAAGGGCAGAAAAAGCCAAAGGGGAAAGAGGTATGGGTTTGAAGTACAAAATCTACGGGAGGAAAGAAGCGTTAACCGAAAGCGTGGAAAGAGCTATCAAGGGCGTATGCCGTTTTGGAACTGGGGGGGAAGGAACTAAAATTGGCGGAGTTGACTGAGTCCAAAATGGAAAGAGCAAAAGAAAATCAAGAAGAAATGTAGGAAACGCCCGAACAAACCCCAATGTCGATCCCTGGACGAACTGTCGCAATACAGAAGATACGCCTGGCGGTGGCAAGTCCGGCCGATGTCAGTTCCCAATGATTTGGAGCTGTGGTGTCGGATAACGTTGCAGTTTACTGTCACAAGCCGTTGCGGAAGGATTTTCTGAAATTTTGGGATGGTAGGTAAGGGTAGCTTAGCTATCGTGGGAAGGGGCGACTCTGCTGGGCGTGCGAAAGGCGGGCGGGCAAAACTGGACCCAATGGGGAAGTGCACAGGGACTGTGTTGAGGAAGGGACGAACGGCAACGGCATGGCGCATGTTTTCTGCAGGCAGCATATTTTGTGCTTTATTTGTCCGAACCCCGTACCCAATACGTCGTACACCAGCTGCTTACACGGTGACATCGCGCAGGTTGAGCTGTCCGTTCACTTATCTAGCCGCTATCGAATCCGCGGACGCCATGCCCATGACAGACACAAAAGATACGGCAAACGGAAAAAGATGAACAGATGCGCTCACAACGAGGCCAAACAAACAATCGCAGTTCTTTTGCTACGACGCAGATCTTGCCCTGATAGCCCCATGTTCCCGATCTTCCGGTCTTCCCCTCATTTTTCTCTCCATGATCTGCGTCTGCTTTCCGGGGAGACAAAGGAATGCCTCGGCTTCGGTTGCCTTCATGTGCCGTTGCTTAGCGGCCTTTGTACGAACTGTACCAATTTGGCACACATTCCACGCCGATGCGTAACAAAAGGGGGCAAATGGGCGCTTACAATGTCCGTCGGCCGGCAGCAGTTGTTTTGCGATCTTTCCTTGCCCACGGGGACGATTGGGTTAGTAGTGGGATCGGCAGGACTGGTTTTCTGGTCGCATTCGCAATCGTTTGCGGGCTACGACCAACAAGGCGAGAGGATGCAGAGATGCCGAGATGCAGAGGCGAGAGATGTCCAGCGTGCAAGCGTCCAAACGTCCAAAGTCCAAACATGTCGTCCGACTGGGGCTGCAAATCCGACAGTTGTCGCGCTTTGCATGCCTGAAATACGCAAGCTCTTGTGCCTCTTCGTTCACAATGTATGTGAGCATATGATGGTACACAACAACAGAGTGTACATTGACGTAGACTGTTTTGACGTTGTTATCGGAGAAGGAATAGTTACATGTCGTCATACCCAATATACTGAGATGTTCTTCCTTGGCGGTCAGCACACTGCAACGCTGCGATAAAAAAACGTGTAATGTTCAGATACCGACAAAAATCAATTTATTTTAAGTGCTGACAGGAACGGGACGCGGAGGATTTTCGAGCGGATCGTATTACAAAGTACTTTGTACTCAACCTAGCGACAAGCAGTGGGGTGGCTGAGGCAAAAATGTGTGAGATTGTGTATGGAATATGAGACTCCAGAGTACAGAAGTACGACGTGGACTATGTGCCTCAGACGACCGGCATCTCTCGACTGCCAACGTTTGCTAAACTCCGCAGGCTAACGACAGTGATATGGCAAAACTAGTCATGTCACCGGACTGTTTTGGCGTTCCGCCGTACACATCGCCAGCCGGAAGGACACAATCGCTCTGTCGATTCGACCTGGGCTGGCATGCTGTGATATGGCGGACGATCACGGCCACAGAAGATTGTCGATTGTATGGGGACAATGGACAATGGCCTTGTCTTGGCCAATCCACGTGGAATTTGTTAAACCCGTCTGGGTCGCCAGGATCGGCAGAGACAGAACAATTCCAGAAGAAATCAAAGACAAACGAGGAGGGAGAATGGAGCGTTGGCCCAGATTCCGTTGGAAGCGATGTGTAGCATGTGTCCGTTACCGTAGCATTGGGAGTGTTGTCGTCCATGGCCAATGCAACAGCGTTTGCCGAAGGAACATCTCATACTAAGAACTGACAGAACACAGTTGGAGCATGGAGGAGGACGTTGGTGCGACTACAACAAGCTATATTTTGTACTCTGCGATGTTCTCACGGGTTGTCTTTGCTCTGTTTTGTGATTTCTGTTTTCGCGGATTTATCACGAGGCGATGGCACTGAAAATGGCAGTGATCAGTGTCAATGCGTCGCTTGCATGGACTCGAGATCGAACCGTCTTGATGACTGAGGGTGACGAGCTATTGCCATAAATCTGACTTGGTGCAGGGAAAGCCCACTTGCAAGTAAGACAGTCCATTGGCACGTAGGTTCAGGACGCAGGATGCAGGATGCAAGCAGCCAGCAAAAGGACATGATAAGCAGGGCTGGAAACAAAACGGGAAAACGAGAAACGTGGTCAACGTGGTCTGCGTGGCAATTGTGACGAAAGTCAGGTCATGCATGTGAGATATGTACGACGTAGGAGAACCGTAATATTGGACAATGGACAGCAACCAAGACCATTCGGAGCGATGCTGCACGTCCAAGGAGAGATGCGAGAGACCAGTCGAAAAAGGGAAAGGCCGCACTCCGTATGCCATATTCCTCCGTCAGCGCAACGAGGCCGTCGAGGTCGAACAAGACATTGGAAAGCTTCGTCTTTTGAGCCTTGATCACTGCCATTTCAGCTTCGACCGACTTTGCGCCCACACAGGCACCCTTCAGGCCTACAACGCCCCTGGCCCTTGCGTCGGGAGGCTGGATAGCGGCCCCCATCTAGCGCTAGCTATCACAGCTTACTGCATGTCTTTTAGTGGGTTCGCGCGCAGCTGAATGGGGCCAGACCGACACTCTGACTGGGCCCTGGATCTCCTCTGGGAGCTATGCCAAGGCAAGTTAGGTGACCAGCATTCGGGAGGTGTTCCGTGTGATGGGTTCTCGGGGTTCTTTTTGACGTTTTCTGTTATGTTGATTTCCTCCTTTTTGATCACATCTCGTTATATTGGAAACGAGAGATGGGAGAAAGCAAGCGTGTTAGAGGAAAAGGAAGGGCGGAAATCAGCAAGAAAAGAAAGTAAGAAGGGGAATATAAAATGACAAAAAGAGTCGTCCACTAACTAGCAGCTGCAGGATCGACAGTGCCGTTTCCTCTTTCAACGGTCGAGCTGAGCCCACCGACCCTGCTCATGCTCCAGGAGCTATTTACATGCAAGGGAGATACGTGCTGAGCTTGACAGAAAGTCCACGGCGGATGGAGGAGTCCGCACGCCGTGCTTTTTTTTGTCGACACAATCAACAACCTATCATGGATGCAGTCGCAGAGGTGCACATTGTCCTGAGCCAAAGTACCAATCACCTTGCGACGTGTGTGGCCAGGAAAATGACGAGCAAGAGGGATGCCACCTTTACCCCACGAACGACCTCTCCTTTCGTCTTAGTTTTCCTCGTCTATCCGTAGTGTGTCGTGGTGTCTCGCTTTCTCGTGGTGGTTGTCCCGACACGCCGTTCTGTCTCATAAACGCCCCTTGCTTCCATGCTTGCCGGCCACGCATCTCGCATGCCACGCTGTCTTGCTTCTTTTTGTCGTTCCTTTCTTTTTTTCTTTCTTTCTTTTTGTTGGATTTCGTGCTGTCCTGCGTCCATTCATAAACGGGCTCCCATCTCCCTTGTACATCGTTTCTTCCTTCTTCCTCCTCGTCCTTTGCAGCCAACGCCTCTCTTTTCTTTTGTGCTTTTTTCGTCTCCTTTCGTCTTTTTCATCCTACATACCACCAGAGATCGCCCGACGATCCTTTCTCCTTCTCCCCCGCGCCTACATCACTCGGACGCCGCACAAACCCCCGACACAATGGACGGAGCGCCGACCCAGAAGAGCCTGACGGCCGCCGAGGCGTTTGACAGCGTCGGCCCGGCCTACGAGGACGCCTTCAAGGGCCTGCCGACGCAGGCGGCGGCGCTAGAGTGGCTGGTGCAGCAGCTGCGCGATGCGCCGCCGCCGCCGTCGTCCAACGGCGAGACGGCGGCCAAGACCAAGAAACAGATTGTCGACGTCGGCTGCGGCACCGGCCGCCCGGCCTGCAGCGTGCTGGCGGACGCCGGCCACGACGTGCTGGGCATTGACATTTCCGAGGCCATGCTGGCGGCGGCGCGCGCGCGCGTGCCCAACGCGCGCTTCGAGCTCATCGACGTGCGCGCCTACCTGCAGCGGGAGGCCGCGGCGGGCCGCCAGGGCACGCTCGACGCTGTCACCGTCTTCTTTTCGCTCATCGCCGGCGTCACCCAGGACGACATTCGCGCCGTGCTCGCGGGCCTCGCGGGCCTGCTCAAGCCGGGCGGCTTCCTCGTGTTCTCGACGGTCCCGATCCCTGTCAACAACGAGGCCATCAAGTGGATGGGCCGCCCCGTGGTGGTGTCGAGCCTGTCGCCCGAGGAGGGTGTAGCGGCGGTCCAGGCGGCGGGCCTGGAGGTGCGCTACGAGGGCGTGACCACGTTCACGCCCAAGGGCGCCGAGGTGGGCATCTGCGCGCCGGACGAGGTGTGGGAGGAGACGCACCTGTTTGTGTATGCGCAGAAGCCGGTGGCGGCGTAGACGAGGTCACTCGAGAAATGGATCCACAGGACAGACCAAAGAGCAGCATGAGAGCATAGGCAATATGAAAAGCATGGTCACAGAGAGAGAGAGTGCTCTACTGTTGTTCTTTTAGTCTACTGCGCTTGTCGATTGTTTTGTTGTCGGCATACTTTTCTTCCTCGTCAAATTCATTGTATATTATGTCACTCAAATGTTCCGCAGGACATGCAATTGAGAAACATGTGGTAAGGAAAAACAACGGCGTCTCGTTCTTGCCGTATCGTGCTCACAGGCTGCAGCTGTATTTGGTAAAGAGGTATCTGCAGGGCTATCTAAAACAAACAGCAACACGTTGTCTCTGGGGTATTCCATCACACATCTTGTCCCGTTCCCTCTCCCCTCGCTCCCCCCCTCCGCCCACCCAACCTCCCACTTACAAGGCCTGCTTCCCCCGTGACTCAAACGGAAGAAGGAGCACCAGCACACCGGCCGCCAAAAACAGCGCGCCGCTCGTGTAGACGGGGGCGCTCGTCTGCAGGTTGGCAAACATGGCGATGATGGGGGCCATGATGCCAAAGATGCGGTTGCAGGTGGCGGCGAGGGCGTTGCCGGTGCCGCGCTGCGGGGTGGGAAACAGCTCGGGGGTGAAGCTGTAGAGGACGGCGTACATGACGCTGCTGGCAAAGGAGAAGGCGGCGTTCCAGCCGAGCAGGGCGTTGGAGGTCAGGGCGGTGGTGGAGCCGTACAAAAACACGCCGGTGACGGCGGTGGAGAGGGCCAGGGTGCCCTTGCGGCCGAAGCGGGGCAGCTCGACGAGCCAGCCGCCAATGAGGGCGCCGGGCACGCCGAGGACGGCGACGATGAGCGAGTTGCGGTAGGTCAGGTAGGTCGAGCCGTCGCCAAAGTGGGCGCCGCGGGTGGCCTGGATGTAGGGCAAAAAGGCATTGTACAGCGGGTAGGCGAGCCCAATCAGCGCCCAGACGGCCATGATGAGGCCCGTCGACAGGGCCAGGCGGCGCGTGGCGAACAGCGTCTTGATGCGGTCGGCGTCGACCTCGGCGAGCTTGCGGCGGATGGCCGTGGCGGCATTGGCGCGGGCGCTGCTGCCGCGTCCGGCGTTTGCGGCGGACGCGTCGGACGAGGCCCCGGCCCCGGCCCCGGCCGCCGGGTGGACGTAGCCCGCGGGCTCGCAGGCCTGCAGATCGGCCAGCGTCAGGTCGGACGTCGTGCCGTTGCGGCGCGCGACTTCGTGCACAATCTGCACGGCCTCGGCGTCGAGGCCGCGGCCCATCAGGTACTTGGGCGACTCGTAGATGGTGAAGCACAGGAAGCGGATGGCAAACATGATGAGCGTCAGGCCGCCCATGGTGATGACAAAGTAGCGCCAGCCCATGTTGGCGGCGCGCGTGCACTGGCCGGCGGCGGCCACGTCTTCCTGGCACGTCAGGTTGCCCAGCAGCGGCCAGGCGATCAGGTTGGCCACCACCTGCGCGAGCGCCCAGTCGACCGACAGGATCGTCAGCAGATACTGGTGCGACGCGGGCAAGAACTCGAGGAAAATGGCCGAGTCGACGGGCAGGTTGCCGCCGACGCCAAAGGACCAGAAGGCGTCAAAGACGCCCACGGCCGCAAAGTTGGGCGAGCCGGCCGCAATCATGCCCCAGACGGCGGCCAGGCCCAGCGTCGCGTTAAAGGCAAAGCGGCGCCCAAAGATGTCGCAGCCAAACCCCCAGAAGACGGCGCCCGCCAGCAGCCCCAGGTTCTGCGCCAGGGTCAGCAGCGGCGGCCGCGCCGGCTGGAACTCGTTGGTCACGGGCGTAAAGATGAGCGACGTCACAATCGGCCACAGGTTGTCGCTGGCCCAGCCGAAGCCCACGACGGCAAACAGCTGCCACTGGTACCGCCCCATGCCAATGGCCTGCACGGCCTGGTTGAGCACGCGCGCCTTGGCCGCGTAGACGGGGTCGATCTCGCCGATGGGCAGCAGGAGCTCGGCCGACGCAACCGATGCGTCGGGTGGCGGGAGATCGTCGCCTTTGTCGGTCTTGTCGGTCTTGCCGGTCGCGTCATGGCCGTTTGTGGGATCGACAATGTCAGCAACCGTATCGCTGGGAGGCCCTTTGGGCGGCTCTTGGGCCGCGTTCTCAATGTCGGCCATGGTGAAAAGGATGGACAGTAGACGTCGATCGAAAAGCACAAATGCAGAAGGGTGCAAATGGAGGGAAATGTGCAATGTAAAAGCTGAATGCAAGACCTGTCTGTGTCGGGGTGTCCTATCCCCGTCTATTTATCCCACAGTCTGCGAGTCTGCGCAGCTGTCGTGTAAGTTAATTAAAGTTTGGGTGCAACGCGACTACTGATGTGGAGTTGTAAAGGACGGTGCGGGAGACGGAAGGGTGGGGGCAAAGGTGCGACCGAACTGTCTGCATGCATGTTAGCTAGGATTGAGGAAATAATGAAAGAGAACAAAAAAGAAAAAAGACAAAAAAGGGAAAAAAAGAAGGAAAATTGTAACAAATGTAACGACGTAGCCGAGAGAACAAAAAACCAACGACAATACGAAGGAGTCAGACAGCAGGCGCCCAATAACATCGATGCTGCCAAGGCCAGGGTGCGATGGCGTGCGATGGCGACGACTGCCGATCTCCTTTCGAGCCTATTGCGTCGTGCTTGGTCCACAGGTCGTGTGGTTCTTTTGTGCGTCCGTATTCTGTAGTTATGGTGTGACCGCGCTCGGAGCAACACTTGTGCAGAGCACTCCCACACTTTGCACTTGCAGGGCATTAGCATTAGCGTCGCCTTGTCCGTTAGCGCCAAGGGCGGGCAATGTACATCTTCCGTGTAAGACGCTCGTTCGGGGCACCGTTTACGTGAGCAGCGCTGATTCCAAAACGCCACGCAAAGGCGAACACCAGGCGCCATCAAATAACAAACACGCTCGTGGGCAAAACTGGCGAGGAGTTGACGAATCCCAGAGGGACTCAGTATGTGCCAGTGCGTCGTAGGATGTCCAGATGCATGTACATTCGTAAATATCGAGTAGTATTTTTTTTTTAAAAAAAATTCATTCAAGTTTACTGGCTTCATCAATACCTTCATTTCTGCCTCGTACGCATGCCGTCATTTTCTGACAGATGCCATCGGACATTGCCACGTGACTCATGGGCTCTACTTTGTACAGTCTGTCAGGGTTGATGGTGATAACAATGGCGCACATCAAAATTCCATTCCATACTATCTACAGATGCACAGAAGTACGTGTGCTCACGCTGACACATCCACATATGCTGCATGTAAGTGATACCACACCCGTGAGGGAAACAGCACGCCAACTCCCACTGCTGCTCCTTACCCAGCGGCAACATAAGGTTCTGCTTTTGGGTATAAATATTCCTCTTCCCCTCTCCTGTCTCACAACCTCCAGACTTCAAACTCATCAAGCAGAAGCATAAAACTTCGGCAGGGGTTTTATATCAGCTGAGCGACAAGTAGGTCACACACATGGTCCTTGTGGACTGTGGGCTTGCAAGAGAGTCCTGCAACAGGTTACAAAGATGGCTCACAAAGATGGCTCAAACGATGGTTCAGACGATGGTTCAAACGATGGCTCACAATGGCTCAAAAACAAAAGGTCAAGAAAAGGGTTCAAGTACACAAGGCCAAGCAAGATGGGTTTCGCATTGGCAAACGATGTCGCTATTCAGCTTCATCAATTGATTGCACTATCTGATACATTGGGATGCTTTCATATTTGACAGGTATCTTTCTGCTTTTCAAGGCATCAGAGGCCACCCGTGCCATATTCCCTATCCCGCTTTGTCCTATTCTTGTTCATAAAGTTTCAAACACTCTCGGGGAAAAGCTTGACGGCAATCTGGGGGCTTTTAGACTTTTGAGAATATGCATTTCTGCAAACATGCACACCGGCCTTTGCTTCTCCATCTCAATGAAGCAGGGATGCAACTGGCAGCGCCACTGTCCCAGCAGAGCAATGCACCCACCCTAGCTTCCCCGCCAGAAGATGACCGCTGCACGATTGTTTCTTGCGCGTGACTGAATCTTTGTGGCATATCTGTCACCGAGGGCGTGGTCGAGGGAAAGCGGTTGAAGTAGGGCTTCTTCGACTGGCAGTCGAAAGCAGTTCTAGAGGACACGACGAGGCGTGCATAGGTCGACAAAATTGTTAAACCCACGGTGTTAGCAAAAGGATTTTAATCATTTGCTGGCACGGGTAGAAGGAAATGAAAAGACAGCCAAGAAAAAAAAGAGAGATCAGACCCGGCAAAAATCATACCAGCAGCCGTTGATGTTTTATCTTTGCTCCTTAAGAAGAAGCTCGACATCTGTCTTTAATCATTTCAATTCAGCGGACCCAAGAGAAAGAAAAGAATGCAAAGGCAAGAGAGTACTGGAAGAATTAAAAGAGCATAGTGCAACGAACCTTGAAAAGGCCACATGAATCAGGCTACATTGGTTTGACACATGACAACCACAGGGAGAATCGCACCATGCAAGACGTTAGCATGCTGCCAGGTATGAATGGGATGCCGCGAGGGATATATCTTACCTCTTATTTCGTGGATTGTCAGAGACAGCTTTACAAGCCACGGTATTGAGTCGATCTTTGCCAGATGCCAGGTATTCGAAGTCCTCCTGTGAGGCACTCTTCGGTCCTGGCCCACGAAACATACGGGGGTTGTTTGTAGAGAACAGGGGCAGTCAGTATCAAGTCATGCAGCGCTGGTAGCGAGACTAACTGGTGATGCAGAAGGGGAGATCACTTACCGAGGGAAAACGAAACGCCTATGCCTGATGGTTCGCCTCCCAACCGCCCCTGAACCATGGTGTCGATTTTATTGATGACTTGTAAGTTGCCTGTTGTTTATTTGCTGAGTCGAAAATTTGCGGTTCACCACCCAACCACCCCTGAACCTATGTTGACCTCAAGAGCTGTCAAGAAGTCATGATCCCCCAGACCATCCCATCCCCCAGGTCATCTATCCCCCAGACCATCTATCCCCCAGACCATCTATCCCCCAGACCATCCATCCCCCAGACCATCCATCCCCCAGACCATCAGTCCCCCAGTTACCATCCAGATAGATTGAGCCCCCAGACACTAACCAAGTTGATACATCTTTGTTCCGTCAGTTTGGTAACCGTCAGGTATTGCTGCCCCCCAGTCCCGATCATGATGTGCCGCCGTGCCGGCTGAGAAATGAATCTCCAAGAGGAATTGAAATGTGCCGCCACCAAGGGAACCAGAAGAGCTATAGGGGTAGAAGCTAATCTGGAACACCGAAGTGTTGAGCCTGTGGTAGCCAGCTGGAATTTGACCTTTGATCTGAGCAGTGTGTTGGATTATTCATTAACGTGAGAGCCCTGCTGTGCGGCTGGGTAACCTCAAGAGAATCGCTCATTGAAGAGACGATCTTGTCATGCGGCTGGTTTTTTAACAAGAAAAGAAAAAAGAAGAAAAGAGAAGAGAAAGAAGAGAAAGAAGAGAAAGGAAAATCGGCGAGTCGAGATATAAATGGATGGGCTTCCACTTCCCGAACTGGCCAACCCACCATCGTGCCTTCCGCGAAAAGGCAATGTTTGTTTATTTCAGTGGCGTCAGGGGCACTCAGGGGTGACGGTCAAGTGTAGCCTCAAATGGGAAAGAGAGAGATACATATCAGGAAAGAAGGACCGGCCATGAACGGTACGGTGAAGGAAAGACTTGCTTCTACGGCAGGCGCAACCGATCCGGGGGTTGAAAATGGAAAGTGTGACCGGAAAGTGCCTGTAAAAAAGGTAAGTCTCCTTGCGTGAGCTATTCATTTTATGTCCATAAATATTCACAATCTTAGGCTTTCGTTTATTACTATATATATACGGCATGGTTGTTCACTTAAGGTGGTGGACCGAAGGGGATCCTGGGCAAATGATGTGAAAAGACCCTCCTTCCCCGTCTTGAATTCTCGAACACTCAAAATGCTCCTTCCACAAGCAGGATTACTTTCGGTGCCGAATTTTTATGAAGAAGGAAGGAGTGTCTCTGATGTTCAAAGAGAGATCCACTTCGTTTGAGAGGGAATGTTCAAAAAAATGCTGGCTATGCGTGTACGTTGCAAGTTCCCAGTATCGCGAATTCCATTTTAGGAAACTTTGAAAAGCGAGGAAAGAGCGCAATGGTGACGGGAGGCAAGTGCAAGAGATAGAGGTTCCATTGGAGGGGCAGATAGGAAAAACACGATAAGCGTCTGGTGAGAAATTACATGTTCTGTTCTCTCGATTCTTTCTAAAAATTGGCTATTTGATATGTCGTGGGATATTGTTCCATTGAAACGCATCGCGGTTCGACATGTTCTGCTCTTTATGGCCAGCGTTCTCATCGGTCTGATCATTGTATTTCCCCGCCCGGCCCCTCTTTCTCTTAGCACGGTATATGTCCAGAACGGGGAGGAGCAGTACTCGCAAGTCGCTCCTGCTATGTCTGCCTTCAAGGACCTCTGTGCAACACTTCCGGAAGGAGCTTCGTCACGTCGATGGAGATTGGCCCCACTTGCTTGCGCTCTTGCCGTCTGTGACGCAGCTGCCATTAGTCCGTCCAGTCAAGAGTGGACTGGTATATGCACATTGCAACTCGAGAAGGTTCTTTAGCCCAGGAAGCAGAAAAAACGCGAACTGGGAGTGAAAGTATCTTCATAGGGAGGCGAGAAAGGAAAATCTGATCTTCTTTCCAGTAAGCTATCCTCGAGGTCAGACGTCTCGAGCGGCTCCACCTTGTCCTCGTAGTTCCTTCCCCAGTCACTCCTTCCCTAGTTACTACTTTCATAGTTGCTCCTTCTCCAGCTGCTTCTTCCCCAGTTGCTCCTTCCTGTTACAATAATTTGCCCGTGCCTGACACTGTCCTAACCTGTCCACATCTCTCCAATGGTCGCTTCCTCTAGAGAGCAGTACCTGCAAAAGGAAAGGGCAGCCCATGTGTATGCGGCAGGAGCGACATGTTCTATATGAATGTCGACGTCACGCTTAGATACAAGCTGTTTTATGAGCAGGTGCGTTTGGTCACCGTACCTCGTCCTTTCCATATGTAGATACAGGATTCGGCTATACATGGCAAGTGCACTTCCTTTGCATACTCCTCCTGTCCCCTCTGCCTCCTTTGCTCCA